TCTAGCAAATCACAGGGCAGGCAGAACATTCAGTGACCTTGATAATAAAGTACCCACCACCAGTTTCTCCTTGGCATACAGGCTTGCACTCTGCAGTTAAATAGTATTTCTATCTTTTTTCCCCCTTTGTTTTAACAGTTGTGTGTGTATCTGGAGGAAAATCAGTATGTTTCTCTGTACAGTAGTTGTTGCCTGCTAAGCTTCTAACAGGGAGCAACAACCCTAGGGAGGGTAATGTATATCTGCTGACTTAAGCCCCCAGCTTTCATCTCTGAGACAAAGCAAAGTCTGAGGATACGTGTATGTAATGCACTACCAATGCACTCTTATAAGAAAGTATTGTGAGCTAAATCTAACTAGAATTGGTATTAATCCATGTTAATATGCATCCCATTGATTTCAGTAGGCCTACTCTAATTGGAACTTAAACTGAATTTACCAGCTGCTTGTTTCAAAATGTTGTGGAACTAACTGGAATAAACACAGTCAGAATGTGTGTCTACAGTACTTCTGTTTGACAATCATTTAGCACTAATATGTTGAAGGCACTGACTGGGGGAAAAGCAAGGCAGGTCAAAGCAGCAGAAGATAGGAAATAGGGTATGTTGGAATGGACCCAGAAGGAAAGTGAAGAACTAGACATGGCTGTTGATAGAAACATTTGGAAAAAGATCTGTTAAAAGATAGAGGGGTTGAAACTGGATCAATACTGAATTGGAGGCCGTTTAAGGCGAAAGAGCACTGTTGCATTTATTTACACAGTGTCATCAATTTGGTGTTTTTATCTTATAGCTTAGAGTCTCCCCCCCCCCAACCTTGCCATTTGAAATGAAATAAGGAGAAGTATTAAGAGTAGAAAGGAAGGACAGATCCCGAAGCTGAGGCTCTAATACTTTGGCCATCTCATGAGAAGAGAAGACTCCCTGGAAAAGACCCCGATGTTGGGAAAATGTGAAGGCAATTGGAGAAGGGGACGACAGAGGATGACATGGCTGGACAGTGTCATCGAAGCGACCAATATGAATTTGACCAAACTCTGGGAGGCAGTGGAAGACTGGAGGGCCTGGCGTGTTGTCCATGGGGTCACGAAGAGTCGGACATGACGTAACAACTAAACAACAACAAATTAGGAGTAGAATACCTACTCCCAAGTTCAGTTCTATGTGGATTCCTCAACAAAATCCGACTCTGGGCACTACATGGTCTGTCCTGGTTGGATGGGGATGGGGGGATAAATTGTGGTAGAAGCCAGATTTGAGGATTAAGGATTTAAGACAAGGACTTCATAGAAATTATGGAAGGAGGATTGTATGTATGCAGAAGGAGGGAGTTCCAGGCCTAAAGAGCAGGAGGAGTGAATGAATTGAGTCATTTTGAAGAGCAACTGATCTTTAAGAGTCTGAGGGTGCAGAACAGAAGGGCCAGTAATGGTGGGCAGCAGGGAAGAAGACATAGAAGCGGGAGCAGATGAAGGAGAAAGATAAAGTCAGAAGTGTGTTGTGAGGGAAAGTATGTTTACTTTTGTCTTCAGGAGCAACTAAATCAACTCCTGCAAAGATGACAGAAAGGTGCTTTTTCAAAGACTCCCACTGTTGGAAAGTTCTTCTCATTACTTTCAGACGGGCCGCTGTGAGAATCCAACAGATGTTGTTGCAGCATTGCAGTGGAGGCTTTTGAGGGATCTGTGCTGTAATAATCCATCTAAATGTTTTGGCTGCGTGACTAGAAATCATGCTGACCGAAATTCTGCTTGGCATTAGCCCCCCAGTAGGGAGCAGTGCCCTTTTTTCTGTTGGAAAGTTCTTCTCATTACTTTCAGACGGGCCGCTGTGAGAATCCAACAGATGTTGTTGCAGCATTGCAGTGGAGGCTTTTGAGGGATCTGTGCTGTAATAATCCATCTAAATGTTTTGGCTGCGTGACTAGAAATCATGCTGACCGAAATTCTGCTTGGCATTAGCCCCCCAGTAGGGAGCAGTGCCCTTTTTTATATCATTCAATAAATGTGACTAGAAATCATGCTGACCGGAATTCTGCTTGGCATTACCCCCCCAGTAGGGAGCAGTGCCCTTTTTTATATCATTCACAAAGTTAATAGAGTGTTGTATTAAAGCCTTACTGCAATGAGAAACAGAGAGATTTGGGAAACTTTTGCTTGAAAGGCCAGCTTAGTGCTTTTAGAAAGAAAAAACACTATGGGTGGGTAGATGAGCAGTAGGCATCTTGCTATAGATCCAGAATCCACCCCAAAGCAGCACCATGTAATATGAGGATGTGTACGTCCGCCATAGCTTAGCTGCTTCTGTGGACTTCTTCCTTCCCCCAAGTTCATAGAATAGTGGGGTCGGAAGGGGCCTATAAGGCCAAGGATTCTAACCTCCTGCTCAAGGCAGTAATCCAAATCAAAGTAGATCTGGCTAGATGGTTGTCCAATTTTCTCTTGAATGCCTCCAGTGTTGGAGCGTGCACCACCTCCCAAGGTAACTGGTTCCATTGTCATCCTGCTCCAACAGTTAGGAAGTTTTTCCTGATATTCAGCCAAAATCTTGCTTTCTGTAGGTTGAGCCCATTATTACGTGTCCTGCATTCTGGGATGATCGAGAACAGATCCTGCCCCTCCTTTATAGGACAGCCTTTCAAGTATTTGAAAAGTGCTAGTGAGTTAGAAGATCTTGCATCTGTTTCTTTTAATGGATTTTTAGTGGGATAAAATCCATCACTTTGTTTTTAAGCTGTGCATAATTATGCTCTTTTTTTGAAATAGCATATGCTGCTTGTATGCAAACACACACACCCAACTGAAACTGTGTTTGTGCTTTGTTTTTGCCTGCATTTGAAATAGCCAGATTCTTCTCTCGGAGATGCCCCCAGCTGCCTGGTAGTGTCCGAGAACACACAGTGCTGCCTCTGGCCGTTATCCAGTCCAAGCAGGGCTGAAAGTCTTTTCAGTTGTGCTGCTGGAAATAGTGGCACAGGTTAAGCCTCAAGCAAGATTGCCTCTCTGTTTTGTTGCTGTTTTATAAATAGCAGGAAGTCTGTCTTGTTCTTCAGAACTTTTAAAGGGCATCTGGTTTGTTTATGATCTCCAATTAAAAGAGGGCAGGGAGGAGAGATAATTACCTTAAAGTTCATGCACACCAGCTCCTTGTAAATGCCATAGATCCTGGCAGAGAATCAAATAACTAGTTATTCCCCTCCCTCCCTAGTTGTGTTTGATGATCCAGATACGATCGTGGGTGCAAATGAGAAGAGGAAAACCTGAGCTGCTCTCCAGATGTTGGGATTGCCAGGAAAAGGCTTAACCCGTAACCAAAAATGGTGGCCCTTAGCCCAGCCTTTTTCTTTTATGAGCTAATTATTGCTCTTCACTCATTCTTTTTGTTATGAACATGAGTATTATTTTCATTATTGTTGTTGTTGTTGCTTAGTTGTTAAGTCGTGTCCGACTCTTCGTGACCCCATGGACCAGGCCCTCCTCTCTTCCACTGCCTCCTGGAGTTGGGTCAAATTCATGTCGGTCGCTTCTATGACACCGTCCAACCATCTCATCCTCTGTCGTCCTCTTCTCCTCTTGCCTTCACACTTTCCCAACATCAGGGTCTTTTCCAGGGAGTCTTCGACATTGACTTTTTGCAATCGCCACAATTTTTGCCCTGTAAAGTAGGTCAGTGAATCTAACAGATAGTGATGGGTGTGACATTGTTTTTCAAGATTTGTCACTGAGGCACCATTTGAATCTCAGTCTCCTGAGTGTAAGTCCAGCAGTAAGTGTTACAACCGTACTAGGGCTGGCAAAGAGGGTAAATATAATAAGTTTAACATTTTGTCTCCAGGGGGGAATGGTACGGCTTGGACTGAAAAGCAGCCTAGAAAGAATTTTCTGTAGCTCTTGGAATATATGCTGTATCTTTACTGAAAACAGAGATAAATGTCTTAAAAGGTTCATTGGATGATAACAAAGAAAGAACAGCCTTTAGAAGAAAAGATTGTTAGGGATAAATTTTGTGTGTGTGTGTGTATGTGTGTGTGTGTGTGTGTGTGTGAGAGAGAGAGAGAGAGAGAGAGAGAGAGAGAGCAAGCAACCACATCCTATAAGCCAGAACTGAATAGCTGATTTTTATTGAAGTCAACAGAAGAAATTTATTAGCTCCCATTCTGTGTTCTTCCAGTATTCCATGCTTCTCAGGCTGAACTTGGGCATTTCCCCCCCTGCGATGATGATGCTCATAAGCTCCCAGTACAGTGGTGCCTCGCTAGACAGGAGGCTGAACTTCTTGGGCATTTTCCCCCCTCCGATGATGATGCTCATAAGCTCCCAGTGCAGTAGTGCCTTGCTAGATAGTTACCCTGCACGACAGTTTTTTCGCTAGACATTGACTTTTTGCAATCGCTATAGCGATTCACAAAACAGTGATTCCTATGGGACAATTTCGCTGGACAATGTTTGGTCCCTGCTTCACAAACCAATTTTCGCTAGACAACGATTTTGACAGCTCCCTCCGCACTCGCAAAATGGGTGTTTTGGGCATCTAAGCTTCACAAGACAGCTATTTAAACAGCTGATCGGTGGTTCGCAAAGCGGATTTCCTATGGCTGATCTTCGCTAGACAACGACGATTCTTCCCCATTGGAATGCATTAAACAGGTTTCAATGCATTTCAATGGGAAAATGCTTTTTGCTAGACAGCGATTTTGCTAAACAGCGATTTCAGTGGAACGGATTATCATCGTCTAGCAAGGCACCACTTTTTGTGGAAGTGAATGAAAAGTTTTGCTTTGGACCAGACAAAGAAAGATGAGGAACGGGACGTAGGAGTCTATTGAGCTTCCTGTTCTGCCCATTGGGCCATGATGTCAAGTGCCACATTCAGTGTCCGGTTGCCTGCTCTGTCTTGAAAACACTTCCTCAGTCGGTTCGTCTGCTATTCCTTCATGCCTGAGGCAGCGGTAGTCTCCGCATGCTTTTATAACCGGATTGCTTTCCTTGTTTTGTTTTCTAGTCTGAAGGATGATGACAGTGGAGATCATGACCAGAATGAAGAGAACAGCACACAGAAAGATGGTGAGAAGGAAAAAAATGATAGAGACAAACCACAAAGTAGCACCAAGAGGAAGGTAGGTTCTTATCACTAGATAGGGATTTTTAGAGGAGGATTTGGTTAAGGAGCTGGTAGCCTGAAGTGTTGATTGGGGTGGGGAATCCAGAATTAGTTGTGCAGAGGATTGTGTGTTTCAGTGTTTCATCGGAAGAGTTTCGGCGAAGAATAGAACCGGGCAAAAGACTCCCATTTCCTGCTCTTATTAAGTGGCACTCATGGGGCAGTGATCTCAGCAGGCCCACATTTCAGGTCTCCGAGGCTAAAAGGGGCAAGACCCCCCCAAAAAAGGTTGATACCGTGGATATTACATGGGGGGAAAAAGAATGGGTTTCTTTTTTTTAAAACTGGAAAATTCTTAAGTTTAGGTCGTATGGTGGCCCCAGAGTTCTGGAGTCCACAAAACAGCCCATATTGCAGCAGAAGGAGCAAGGAAATGTTCTGTGCCTCCCCCCCCAAAGAAAACCCCTGGAATTTGGAGGGGGAAGGAGGGGGTCAGAGACATTCATAAAATTCTGTTGGGTGAGTAAGGATGGTGAGCATTTTTTTAAAAAAAAACTGGGTGAGGATGGCTTGCAGGCTATAGGCCACCTGTTGCCTAACACCCTTTAGGGTGACCAGGACATAGACCCTGGACTGGCCATCCATTTGTAAGACCCTGAACCCCAGTGACACTGCTCTGTGTAAGTCTGCAGGTGTCTATTTTATTGCACAGAAAATACATCTGCTGTTGTGGAAGGTGCAATGAGGGATAGGCTTGCCCTTCAGTCTGGGTGCTAGTGGAGGTTCCTGGGCATCACTGACTATTTGACTCTCTCCCTGTCAAGGGCCCTTGCAGTGTACAGGAGCCATATCTTGCGCTGGTCACCTGTCACAATGGCAAAGGTGTTATTCTGATGTTAGATGCAGGTAACTTTGAAACTCTCAAGTATTAAAATGTCCGCTCTCCTACCGGATGCTTTTTGGGTTTGGTTCTTTCTTGTCCTCTGTAAGCAGGGAAAGCAATGAGATTGAGATTATCCCTAGCTTTGTGTTAAAAGATCCCCATCCCTGGCTTAGATTTATTTATTTGTTTGTTCTTGTATTTGCTGCAGACCCGTCAGGGTTCAGCTCTGTGCTTTTCATCTGTGACTGGTTTTTCAATAGGACACTTGAGAACCTTTGCATCTGGTCCGTGTCTTTCATTAATGCCTGCATTTTCAAGGGCCCTTTCTTTTCATCAAATGTGATTCAGTAGAAATCACTCTCCCTAGGATTGTAAATGCTGTAAGCTTTGGATGTGTTCGTTTGTGTACTTGTAGTACTAAGGACACTGCTAAGGACACACACACGCACACAAACAAACAGATGAAATAGCTTGCTACCCAGTGGCCAATAGGCAAATCAGAAGCATTTCTCCTAGATTTCTATTATCTGTTCCTGTCCTCCCATCACACCAGACACGAGGCATCCATAAGGATATAATGACTACTTGCAAATTGTTTCATCTTCAGTGAAAACCTGTTGAAAAATGGGCAAGCGCTGCCAGCATTTTCACCCTTCTATGAAAGCAAATGGGCTTTATAAAAGGGCAACATCCTTACATGTTCCGTTTAAACCTTGCGTTTTTACACAAAATGCAATTTCTTTCTCCAAAGACATATCCAGGATTTCTTCACGAAAAGTGCCAGATTGTAGGAAATGTACGACTCCTGTAATCTTGCCAGTCGGAATAAAATACCTGAAATTTTTCAAACATGTTGGTTTCTGCAAGAATTAAATAGAAGATTTACATCCCTGCCACTAACTAATTCTACTGCAGCAGTATCTCCAAAAGTGGCCTGCAGGGGCCCATTCAGTTCTTCTGTGTATCCTGTCATGGATAGTTTTGAGGGAAACTGATGGAATTAGAGAGTTTCCAGGACTGTCGCTATTGAAATGTCCTGACCCTGGCAGGAGAGAAAAATTTCTTGGGGTGCGTCTTTCCTGGAATAATTTACTCAGGAAGAAAGAGAAGGTTTAAAAAAAGAGGTTCTTTTTGTTTGCACTTTCTTAATTCCAGAGTTTGCTGTCAATATTAAAAGGTGAGCATGATTATTATTATTATTTTTTCCAAACTCTCAATTTTTGGGCTGGGGTTTTTAGGTTATTGCTTTTCTTTTTGGTGTTATTGTTCACTTGGAAACCTTGTATGGTGTTCTACGGATCACCTTGGCTCCATCTGTCTTCCCTGATCTGAAAGGGAAATAGATTTTCCATTTCTGGGGGCAGGATGTTGGATTTAAGCTCCACCACTGTACTGTTGGAGGCATTTAGAGGCTGACAGACAGAGTTCATGAACTGGGCTGGTCCTAATGAGTTGCTTGTAAGGAACAGAATATGTCCCTCACGGGGTTCATCTTCTGCCAACTTGGAGAAAATCTGTTGTTGCTAATCTCTGACATGAAGTATAGTCAATTCCTGCCAGACTAATGGTGTGTTTCAAGCTATTAACAGAGATGGGATTTCAGGAAGAAAACGAGGCTAAACTGTTTTTTCACGCTCCATGGTGGCAGGGGATGGGCAGGCTTCTAATGCCGCAGACATCTCTTTCAGCTTTATCTATCAGAGAACGCAAAAGGATAAATGAGTTTTTCAATTCCTCTCCCAGGCTGTGGTTCCCGGGCCGGCTGAGCACCCCCTGCAGTACAATTATACCTTCTGGTATTCCAGACGGACTCCCGGGAGGCCTACCAGCTCTCAGAGTTACGAACAGAACATCAAACAAATTGGCACCTTTGCCTCCGTGAGTGTGATTTCTGCCGTGTCCCTTGGTTAAGAGGGAGGGAATGCATTACCTGCGTAGGCAACGATACTGGGGATGTAAGAGTGGAGGGATCTCTCTCGGTTTTTTTGCTTCCTGTGAGATCCAGTTTCTTAAAACCTCAAGTTCTTTTGTCCCGCTTTGGAGGAACAATGCCAGTTCTTCTAAAAATAATGAACAGAACCAGATTTTCACCAAGTCTCCAGATGGGAAGAGGCTTTAGTTCAGCAATTGGACAGAGTCTTTACTGACAAGGTGCCAGATTAAATTCCCGGGAGGGCCCTTCTTTGCATGAGAACCCCAGAGGGCTCTAGATCAGATGGATGACTTCCTACAGGCACCTTCCATGTTTTCAGGAGAGTAGCTGTCTAGCTTAACCCAGCAAAAAAGGAAAAAAGTTTAGTGGCCTCTTAAAGGTTAACACGATTTATTTTGCTTAAGTATTTGTGGTCTTATAAAAGCTTATGCCAGATGTAACTCATTAATCTTGACCACCGCAGTCTTTCTTGCTTCATTTGTGTTATGTTCAGGGTGGATTTGATTTAAGTAGAATTGATTTAAATTTTTAAAAATCATTTTATTTTGCTTAAGTATTTGTGGTCTTATAAAAGCTTATGCCAGATGTAACTCATTAATCTTGACCACCGCAGTCTTTCTTGCTTCATTTGTGTTATGTTCAGGGTGGATTTGATTTAAGTAGAATTGATTTAAATTTTTAAAAATCATTTTTAATTTTTTATATTTAAATAATTAAAAAAGCTTAGCATAGTAAATTGCAGTAGAGTAGGCTTACTGAATCAGTGAGATTTTTGGTAAGCAGCTCCTCCCTATGTTCCATTGATTCACATGAGCTAACTTCTACTTAACTTTAGCATGTTTATTTATTAATTATTTTCACTTCAATACCATCTCCTTAGTGTTATCACTAAGGGTCACAGCATACGATAAAAATACAATAAAACACAATAAAGCCCATCTGCCCTCAAGGAGACACTCATTAGGCCCATAAGAAAGAAACCTAGTTTGGCGGCGGACGAAATTGGCAATTATAGGCCCGTCGCCAATGTTTCTTTCATGAGCAAAGTGGTCGAGGCCGTTCTAGCGATCGCAAATGCGATCGCACACCGACGGCCCCTATGGCTCAAAATTGCAGAGTGAAGGTCGGTAAGCGGTTCGCTTACCGACCTCCGCTTTGCGACCCGCCGATCAGCTGTTCGGCGGCTTCAAAATGGCCGCCGGAAGCCCCAAAATGGCCGCGCGCAGCGTTTTCGCGCCCTTGTTAAGCGAGGGGAGGGCGTGATAATGGCTGCCGGCCATCGGAGAAACATCGCTGTACGGTGAGTAAAGCTGCTATTGGAACGCAATGGCTTTTTTTGATCCGTACAGCGACGTTTTCACACAGCGAGGGTTAATCTGGAACGGATTAACCACTCATTTGAGCATCTCAGGTCAAAAATTCACCACTAGTAGAAAGGAGCTTTATGCAATTCTGTCTTAATTAGCTTCCTAAAGACCAAGAGGAAAGGTGCCTGGTGAACCTCGGTGGGAAGCCTAGGCTTTTCCTTAGTGGTTGGCTCTCCGAGATGGGGGTTTTAAATGGATTGTTGTTCTCTGTTGTTTTTTAAATGTGTTTTTAGTATTGATTTTATTTACCATTTTTAATATAATACTTATTTACCACAGTGTATATTTGCATACAGTAGGACCCTGTATCGGCTGGATCAATATCCGCTGATTCACTTATCCACAGTCTGAAAATACTGTACTGCATTAAAAATATTAAAAGGAAGAAATAATTGTTAAAAATCCACACGTTTTACCAGAATTAGCCACCAGGGGAAGGCAGAGACCGTGCTATGAAGTCTCGCTCTCTTTGGGATTTTTTTCTTTCTTTTACCATCGTTGTTCCCAAACTTTTTCGACACCCTTTCCTCCCCGCTCCTGGTGGCTGAACCCCTCTACTTACTTACTGTTTTTAAGCTTTTAAGTGTTATATTTTAATGATATACGTCACCTTGGTTCCTTTTAGGGGGAAAACGGGGTAAAAATATTTTAAATAAATAATCCAGAGGTGAAGGGGGCCATGATCGAGAACGGTTGGTTCCTAGTGTTGGGTTTTTTGGCCTCCTTAGGTATTGCTGTTCTTAACATGAAGGATTATGAGGAACAGATGAGTTGGGTGCTATTTTGGGGGGAAAGACATACTGCCAAGTATTGAGGTCCTAAACCATTAAGGGCTTTATAGATCATGATCAGTACTTTGAGCATGGAAACGAACAGGGAGCCAATGAAGGCATGCCAAAACTGGGGACATGTGTTCATATCTGCTAATTAGTTTGGCCGCTGCATTTTGAATTTGCGGAAGTTTCCACACCAACTTGAAGGGAACCTATGAAGAGAGCATTACAGAAATCTGTTTTAGAGAAGTTGCAGGTAGAGTAGCACCATTTGAGTCAATGGAACATCTGGAGGAAGTTAAATTCCCATTGATTCATTGGGCCGATGCTTGTGCAACCTACTATCCTAAGCAACAAGATTTTGGCCATTTGTGAACTTTTTGTGGATCAAATCCATGAAATCTTCCTGTGTCTGAAGAAGCAGATTTGATCCGCAGAAGCTCACACTGAAATGAATGTTATTTTTAAAGTGCCATGACATTTTGTCTTTCCCCTCCTTTCTTCTTTTAATTTCAAGAAAAACAGGACATGTATCTCAAAGGATGATTGACCCAACCCAGTCAGTCTTCCCTTGTTTGTATATTTCACTTTCTCTTGACAATGTTTGCTCAGAAATCTTGCCAGTTTTAGAATGAGAGAAAAAACTGGCTGAACAGGTTTGATGCACTAAAACTCAAACAGCCCAGGTGTCTCTATTGCATTGTTGCCAAATAGGGTGTGGTAGGAAGAGGTTTCCCCTTCATGGATGCAAACCTTAATGTTGTGTGTGTGTGTGAGCAGCAACATTCAAGCTAACATTTGTTAGTACTATGCAAGAGAAAGCAGTGGTAAGCAATTGCTGAACTTTTCTTACCTTGAAAACTCTACGATGAGAGGTCGAGAATGAAACAAGAAAGAGCACTGGAAGATGAGACTTCCAGGTCAGAAAGCACTCAGCTACGAGGGAAGAGCAGAGGACCAGTATAGAAAGTTCTGCCGGTAAAATTACAACTAGATTAAAGCCAAAAGGACATATAGTAGCTGACATGCACAGAAGTGAAAGGAAAGTTCAGTGCTGAACAACACATACAGTTTGAATATGGAACGTGAGAAGAGATAATCAGATGACAGATTACTTTGAAGAGGAAACCTATGATGAAGAACCTATAGTTTAGAAAATTAAGTAAAAGCTGCTCTGAAATCACTGGGAAGAAATAAATCACCAGAGATAAATGGGATACTGATATAACTGTTTCAAGCCTCAGAGATTGAATCTTTCAAAATCCTAACAGGAATATACCAGTAAATATGGAAAACAAAGCAATGGCCCAGAGACTGGAAATGTTCAAAATACATTCCAATCCGAAAGAAAGGAGATGCCAGGGAGAGCAGTAACTTATAGCACCACTGCCACAGTTTCCCATGCAGACAAAGTTCACTACTATGTATGGGGGTGAAAGCTGGACGGTAAAGAAAGCAGATGAAAGAAAATTGATTTGTCAGATATATGTTGCTGAAGGAGATCCTTGGAGATGTCCTGTACTGTCTAAAAGACGATTAAATAAATAATCACTTATCTGGCTGGCCCTAAGAAAGTGGTGCTACCAGAAACATAGTCATTCATTCCATTTACTAACTATTGGGTAGAAGGGAGTGCTCCTAGCCCTCCTACCTCTGTTTCCAGAGCAGCCTTGATGGATTAAAGCAGTTCATAGCAGTAGCAAAATCAACATGCAAATCACATTTGCAGAAATAAGGCAATCGCCAGTGGGAGACCTTACCCCAGAAGGAAAAGAAAAACAAGTGAGAAAAAAGAATGCAGTCAGAGACTATCAAGAATATTGGCTAGTGGCACAGCAGATGGAGAAACCCAAACACAATTAGTTTTGAGAAGATGCCAACATTACATGTGCTTATGGGACTCAGTATGACAGTTAACATGCAGTAGGGAGTTTGCATTCTGCCCCTCTCCCTAACCAACACTTAGATATTCAGAGCACACGGGGGGGGGGGAGCCCTNCTGTAGACTTGGCTCCAGAGCACTTGTGACCCTACTCACCTTAGTGAGAGAATGTTGACCAGCAGCCTCTGATGGGGGTATTTTTTGCCATCCCTCCACCCCATCCCCAGTCTACTGGAGTACAGCTCATTGCAGGATAGGTTGTTTGTTTGTTTAAAACATTAGTCTTGGGAAAATGCTTTCCACAGCTAATCCCCCAAAGAACCACTGGACAGCTGTATCAGACATCTGGTTGTTTCATAGCATTTGCAAGAACCATCTTCTAGGGCACATTTCCAGACTAGAGTATTTTGTAGTTCTCTGTCTGAAAGTATCCCATTACAGCCCACTTTAGTTCACCGACACCAAGCACTGCAGTGTTTATACATTCCCATTTTTTGCTTTACAGTTTCCAATTTACCCTGATTCATCCTTCCCACTTCCATCTTCAGATTGTTTGTGTTGTGTAACATTGGGCTTTCCTTTCACTTCTGTGCACGTCAGCCACTAGGCGTCCTTTCAGCTTTAATCTAATTGAACCCTTAATGACAGCGCTATTTTATTTATTTATTAGACTCCACTATTGGCGGCTTGGGTGACTGTCTCGTTTGGGGTGGTGACTCTTGCCGCAAAGAGTGGGGTTCGCAGCTGCCGGATCCATCTGGACCTGGCGCTCACAATGGAGACTCAGGTGGCGTCGGTGGTCCGTACAGCCTTTTTCGGTCTTTGGCGGATAGCCCGGCTGCGACCCTATCTCGATATGGGGGCGCTCACTACCTTGGTTCATGCGCTCTCGATATTAGACCACTGTAATGCGCTCTATGTGGGGCTACCTTTTAAGCTGACGTGGAGACTCCAAGTGGTGCAGAATGCAGCAGCCAGACTCCTTAGTGGGGTGAGAAAATGCCACCATATTTCTCCTATTTTGGCCATGCTGCATTGGCTGCCCATTCGGTTCCACGTTGACTTCAAAGTCTTGATGCTTACGTATAAAGCCCTAACCGGTTTAGGGCCTCGATACTTGGCGGAACGCCGGCTCCCACCAAGCTCTACCCGTGTCCCTCGAGCAAGTCAGGAGGTGAGGCTGAGGAGCCTGACGCTGAAGGAGGCCTGGAAGGAAAAGACAAGAAATCGGGCCTTCTTGGTGGTGGCTCCTCGCCTCTGGAACAATCTGCCTCCGGAGATTCGCGCGGCTCCCTCGCTGGGTATTTTCAAAAACCAATTAAAAACATGGATGTTTAGGCAGACCTTCCCTCCAGTTAATTTCTGATTCACTCCCCTTCATTTTCTCTTGTGGTTTATTTTTCGTTTGTTCTCCATCTTGAAGAATTGCCTATTTATGTAATAATTCCTTTTTTATATTTATTCGTGTATTTTGTGTTGTAAGCCGCCTAGAGTGGTCGCAATGACCAGATAGGCGGGATGTAAATAGAATAAATAAATAAATACCCCGCCAATCTAGACCAAAGGTTTACTCTGGGCGGCAAACTGGTCCTTTGCTGTTCCTCAATAGATGATTGATTGCTTTTTGACCTGGGAGTCTCATCTTCCAGCACCAACTCTTGTTTCATTTTGGATTATCTCCTCATAGGGCTGTCGTGGTAAAGAAAATTCAGTAGTGGTTTTCACTTGGCACCTTCTGCTCAGTACTAATAAATATTAAGTTGAGGGCCACTGCCGTTGCCTCCTCCACCAGTGTCCGTTTCAGCCTCCCCTACTGCCCAGTAGCTCCCACCCCATCATCATTGGAACTATCCATTCTCTCTTACTGATACAACTGTTATTCCAGAAGAAGGTAGATGCATCTTAGTTTAGTGTCTCAGCTGTGACCATTTTACCTTGGGTGACCTTGCTAGCAGTCCAGGCTCATAATGGAGCTCAGACTGCTGACCAGCATTGCTCTCAGCTTAACTTGACACACTCAAATCCCATCACCATGTTATGGTGTGCCATCTGAGAAGGGGGAATTTTCGCTTAGTTCCCGCAAATCTGCAGTTTGTGTTGTGACCTCTAGAGGGCAGCAGTGCTCCGGAACACAGGCTTACTATTAAGTGCTAAACTATCATTTTCCTCCCCTTAATGTGCATAACTAGATCAGCTCTCTCATCTAGCTCCTAAAAGCTTGAAGGGCACAATCCCTTTCAATAAGTGAAGTAGTGCTTGTAGGTATGAATTTTAAGGGAGACAAATGATTACTTTGGCAATTGATGCAATTGCTGCCGCTGAAGATGTACTTTGGAAGGGCTGAGCCATCGCTGCAAGACAAGAGCGGTGGGGAGCTTTCCTCTCCTTCTTCCTTAATAGCTTCTAACCGTTTTCAAAGGGTGCAGCTGATGTATTAGGATAGGGCAGCAAAAGCAACAGAAACTCTGCAGAGCTGGCTTACGAATGACCTATAAAAACATTTGCCCTAGAATGCCCGGCCCGGCCAGCGGTAAAGAATTGGTAGTTGTGATCCCAAACCTTCGGAAAATCAAAACGTGCTTCCCACCCCACATAGAGAATGGAAGACTAGCAATAGATCAAGACCCGTGAGAGATTAGTGACAGCTGTGGGCTAACATTCGTTCTGTTCTCGATCCTCCCCGACGGCAGGACACGCAACCATGGGCCAGATTTCGGCTGAATCTCAGGATAAACTTCCTAACTGTTAAAGCAGTACGACAAGGGAGCCCATGACCCTGGTAGGTGGTGAGTGCTCCAGCGCTGGAGGCCTTCAAGAGAAATTTAGACAAGCACCTGGCAGATATCCTTTGATCTGTATTCCTGCCTTGAACAGGGGGTGGACTTGATGGCCTCAAAGGCCCCATTCCAACTTCACTCTTCTATGATTCTGCTATAAGAAGCATCTGTGGTGTTTTTATAGCGCCCCATCCTCAAATCTACACACATCAGACTGCAAGGGCTGGGATGTCAGCCAGTTGACCAGAGTATGGTTAGTCTACTCTCTGTGACTTGAGTGGGTCTGTACCCCCTTTCTCACATCCAATGGCTGAGTTATGAATCTGAAGGTCTATGGTACAAATCTTGCCTTTGTCATGAATTCCGTCATTCTCTTTAGACAAACCACAGAAATTTCAAGCCTCAGTTTCATTGCTGCAGGGATAATCTCTAGTTTATGGGGTTTAGGGTAAATATTACACAAAGATGATCTGTATGAAACACCCAGAATGCTCAAAAAGTCTATATAAAGGAAGAATTATTATTATTTTATTGCTTGATTGTTTTGTGGGCCCTCTGGCAATTGGGATCCATAGGGTAGAGACTGGTGGGCTACTGGCAAACCATCTCATGTAGTTAAGATGTCTAATTAGTTGTCTGATAATCTGTGTCTCTTTTGTAGTGTTCCTGTCTTCCCTTCCTTTCTTTCTTTCTTTCTTTCTTTCTTTCTTTCTTTCTTTCTTTCTTTCTTTCTTTCTTTCTTTCTTCTGTTTGAGTTTTGGTTGGTTAAAGCAGTGGTCCCCAAACTTGGGCCTCCAGATGTTCTTGGACTACAACTCCCAGAAGCCTTTTCACCACCACCTCTGCTGGACAGGATTTAGGGGAGTTGAAGTCCAAGAACATCTGGAAGACCAAGGTCGGGGACCACTGGGTTAAAGAACATTTAAAAATCTACAGGTGGTGCCACTATCATGCATTCTAGCTGCCTTGCAGTCAGCTACAGAAATGCATTTATTAATTAAATTTCCATGGCACTCATCTAGTGGCATGCCACTACTTTGGCTGGTTTACAGACGTGAAACAAAAAAAACATAAGAACCCAACCCCCACCCATCCAAAAATAATCTAAACACCCCCCCCCCAAATAAAATAGAGCCTTCAATGGCGATGACAGACATTTAACAGAATCCAGGTATAACATAAATATACATGATTATAACATAAATATAAATGATTACAAGGGGAACAGATCCCCAAAAGCTTATCTAAATGCAACATTTTAACTAGCTTTCAGAATGCTGGGAGGGAGGGGGCCTGGCTCGTCTCCACCGGTAACACATTACACAAGGAGGTGGCCACCACTGAGAAGGTCCAGTTCCTGGTCAAAGACTTTTAGGCCTCACTCAGGGTGGCCGCATGCAGTATCAAAGCTTAGGGGGTGCAGGTGGCATAAATGAAAGAACTCAGGGCGAGGCGTTCAGACAATCCTAGAATCATCGTAAGGTTGGCAGGGACCTTGGAGGTCTTCTAGTCGGACCCCCTGCCCAAGGCAAGAGACCTCATCCCACTCTGGGACAGATGGCTGTCCAATCTTTTCTTGGAAACCTCCAGCGATGGGGCACCCACTCCATCGGGAGGCAAGCCGTTCCACCACTTCATGGTTCTCACAGCCAGGAAACTCCTCCTTGTTTCCAGGTTGGGTCTCCCTCTGACGCGTTCCCACCCATGGGGTCTTGTCCTACCCTCAGGAGCCATGGAGGATCAATCGATGCCCTCTTCCCTGGGGCAACCCTTCATATATCGGAAGACGGCGATCATGTCTCCCCTCAGTCTCCTCTATGTTAAACTCAACCTACCTAGTTCTTTGAGTCATTCTTCATAGGATTTAGCTTCCAGTCCCCTTATCTTTGTTGCAAGTACACAAAAAGATTTCCTTCCCTGATTTCCTTTGTCTGACATGGTGGGTATGGTGTTTTGCTGCAGGTGGAACAGTTCTGGAGGTTTTACAGTCACATGGTCCGTCCTGGGGACCTGACAGGCCACAGTGACTTCCATCTTTTCAAAGAAGGAATTAAACCCATGTGGGAGGTGAGTGAAACATCTACATGAGGCCAATACCGATGCCTGCAAGTAATATGTGCATGTAGGTTAGTTTTCTAGCACAGAATGCAGTTTGATTTAGACCCAGGTTGAAATTAAGGGGGGAATCACATAGGTCTCGCTGGGTAGTCTTGTGTAAACCAGTCTCGCTTAATGTCTCTTTTCAATTTCTGAAATGGGGATTGGAAGTTAAAAATAGCTATGTCAGGATTTGAATGTTTTTCTTCCTTTGGTGCAGAAGTCTCATGTAAGGGGGTGTGAAGAAGTGTACAATACAGTACACGGCTCATCAAAATGAGCAAACATCCGTTCCATCTTTCAGTTGTTACCTTGCAAACATGGGAGTAGTTGAGTGGACACCTCTTCTAGGGGGAGAAAAATCCCACCCTTGTTTATCTGCTCAACATCAGCCAGAAGAAAGAGTGCTGGGGGAGGCCAACCTTTTGTCTGTTTTTCCCCAGGACGATGCCAATAAAAATGGTGGCAAGTGGATTATCCGTCTCCGGAAGGGCTTAGCCTCACGCTGCTGGGAGAACCTTATTCTCGCCATGCTGGGAGAACAGTTCATGGTGGGCGAAGAAATCTGTGGAGCTGTTGTTTCCGTTCGTTTCCAGGTGAGTCCCCTGCAAAGAGGGGTAAGGAGGGCAGGCTTGCTCGTTGGGACATCACTCTTTCATCCACGTCTCGATGGTCACCCTATAGGAGGATATCATCTCCATATGGAACAAAACTGCCAGTGACCAAGCCACCACCGCCCGGATACGGGACACCTTGCGGCGAGTGCTGAACCTGCCCCCTAACACCATTATGGAGTACAAGACACATACAGACAGCATCAAGTACGTGTAGGGGTGGCAGGGGGGGCATGGGGTGTTGTAGGCATGTCTCCACCATGATCAATGGAGGACATGGGTTGAAAACCTTGAAGCAGGGCTGTGCCTGTGAAATTCTTGGAGCTTTGAACGTCACCCATGTGGCTCCCAGAGACCACACGGAGCTTCTCTAGCACACGATGTAGCTAACTGCTTATGCTCCATCATGTGTTCCTTTGTGTGCTGCAGCCGTCATTGTCTCTGCTGTTGTTCAGTGGCCTTCCAGGGACCACTCCCTGCTCCTGCTGGGTGGCTTAGCCACTCCGTCATGGGGACTTTGGCTTTCTCTGCTCCAGAGGATTAGGGGCATGGTTTCCAAATTTCCTCCTGCTTCCTGCGGGGTGCTAGTCAAGGCACTGAGAACAGGTGGTTGTCCTACAGAAACGGAAAACTCTCTTGGAAAATACTCAACACCCTTCTGTAGGGGAAGATGGCTGGTGGAGGGCAGAGTGGCTTTGCGGGAAGCGAGTCTGCTCATACTGATGTTTTTATTGAGCGTCTCCCCAATAAGCATCTAGACATAAGAAGACATAAGACATAAGAAATTTATCTCTCCCCAATAAGCATCTAAGGAAAAGAGAGGAATTCTTGAAACATAACCGCACAAACCAACTGGCCTACCCAGATGTTCTGATTTGGGTGCAACGAAATGAGGTGCTCTTCCCCAAGGAAAAGAGAGGAATTCCTGAAACATAACCACACAAACCAACTGGCCTACCCAGATGTTCTGATTGCCGTTCGAGCAACTGGGGTAGAGTTGTGTCTCGTCCCAGTCCAAGATGGCACGAAGGGAGGGATTGAGTGCACCACACTGCATTCCTGGGGAAATAAAATATAGAAGCTAACAGGGATTTATAGACCCATTAGATTTATAAATGTTCTCAGGAAGGCACTATGTAAATTTACTGCGCTGTACAAATGATTTCTAATCATAATAAATGCTCTACATTAAATCCTCCCAGCCCCCCGGTGACAGAGGCTCTTTAACTAGAACAGAAGATTATAGTACACTGAGAGGACAGCTGTATTTTAAATAAGGCAGTTATAGTTTACCATGCCGGGCCGTTTGAGATGACTTTTATTCTCTCAGGCTGATGAAGGATCGCTGCATATTTAAGAGCTTTCAGATTGGAGGTGAAGAATGTGAAAAACTCTTTTCACTTAAGTGCACTATAAGCAAAGACGCAGCTTTGGATCACGTGGGTGAGCCCTGGAAGATTAATTTAACTGGATGGAGAAGGTGAATAAAATAGAGAAGGAGAACTTGGTAGCAGAGGGCTTTCAGGTCCTGCTAGTAAGCAAAGATGTGCTGTTTGGAAACACCCACCCCTGGAGTATGACATGACTCTCAAGGAAGGAAAGCAGAGCTAATTTAAGAGGGCACAGAACAAGTCTGAGAATTGTTTCACCAAAGACCCATTTAATTCATTAGCCCATTTCTACAGCAGCTAGCCAGATGCCCCTGGAACGCTCACAACCAGAAGATGGTTGAGACTTGTGACCCTCTGTCTATGGGGCCCCTGAATATGGAGGTTCCATTCCATTCTTGAACATAATGGCGAACACTCATTTTCACCCTTCCTGAGATGTTCTTCATGAAGTTGGCTGTTTCAATTCATAAATGGCCTTGTCTTGGCTAAGTAAGAATATAGCCATCTGCCATTCTTGCTTACCTTGCTTCTCTCGGAGTCCCATTCACATTCTCTTTCCATCTTGAATCCATGTTGATTTATAAGACATTTTCCCCCTTTCGACATACAGTGCTTGTTTTTCTGCTTATATTTTTTTAATGCCTGGATTATTTGCATGCATTTTTCTAATTAGTCTTCATTATACCAGCATTTTTTTCTATTGACTAAAGCAGGCATGCATGCTTTGGTATACACTTTTGTCACACGTTTTTAAAAGAAGGTTGCCTTTTTAATATTCATTCATTCATTCATTCATTTTCCACCCAACCAGTGGCAAGGCCACACTACTCTGGTCAGCCAACAATTCCAAATAGCACAATCTGCATAACAAAACCAATCATGAAATTCACCTAAAACAGCAGACAAGGGACCTAATCTCTAAAAAATGAAATGACGAATGCAAAAAAAAGGATAATAACTATAGAAAAACTAGAGATCCAGGGTAAAAGAAATAATAATAGGTGGTGGAACAAGGCAAGTTCACAGGGACAGAAAGAAAGCCCATTTACTCAGACAAGATTACTCTGGGGTAATACCATAAAAAGGCTTGTGAAAACAGCACGTTCCGTGCTCCTGGCATACATTGCAAGCCTTAAGGGTTGTACAGATTTTCTGGGAAGATAGATATTGTTCTATTGCTTGTTTTGGGAGATGTAAAGTGAGTGTTTTCTTACAAAAATGCAGATCCAGCAGGGTTTTTTTTTCTATCCTGGTGGGTTATTGGTTACTAGGCTTTGCGTTCAGTTCCAGACCAGCAACTCTTCCTCTTGCTTAGACCTAAAGGTGGAATTCTGAGTTCTCCCATAGCACATTTCTGTATCTCAATGGGACTTCACTACTGGCACATCTCCCTGTTGGATAAGCCATTTGTTGAAATGGAACAAAAGCACAGTAAACGTAGTCAGAAAATGCCTTTCTTTCCCAGTTTGTGGGCCTCTGCGTTCATTTGTGCACATTTATTTTTGTGTGCTGTAGTCAAAGGTGGTTCTTTGCGCACAGCCAGAACGCTAGTTCATAATGGAGTTCGTGGACAGATTTGAGGAAGTTGAATGGCTATTTTCCTTTTAAACAAGTTTTTTAAAAATTATTTAAACAAGAAAGGAAAGCATAGACAAAACCTACCTTATTACAAAGCACTACATTATATCCTCTTATCACATGGCCCCTTTTTTCACTCTGTGCAACCCTCCTCCTACTAGTTCCATGTTCTTTATTTTTATATTTTGTTCGTTTAGTTGTTTAGTCGTGTCCGACTCTTCGTGATCTTACCACATGACCCCTTTTCTTCACTCTGTGCAACCCACACCCTACTAGTTCCATGTTCTTTATTTTTATATTTCAGATCACCCCATTTTACTCCAGTAATGCATTGATTTATATTTCAGATTACCCCATTTTACTCCAGTAATGCATTGATTCTTCTCCTGATGTATACCCCTTCCCTTTCTGAAATACACATGGAATGGTTATTTTCCTGTTCTCATTTGCAAAGCACCTAATTTGCTAGATAGTTTGCAACCATTAATAGGTAACATAGATCTAATCTGTCCGTTCTCCAATAGCTCAGATTGTCTGGTTATAATTTCTACATCAAGCCTTTTGAATATCAAGATTTGCAAAGTGCCTCCTTTTAAAAAATATTCTTCTCGCAATATCCTTAGCTGAGCAGCCACTCTTTATTCTGATGTTGGCCATTCAAGAATACGGAGCAAAACAATTGGTTTTCTTTTAAGACCAATTGACTCACAGGCATTAGGTAGCCTCCAGAGTCTCTGAAAGTGTTTAGGGAAAAAGAAGAGTGATTGAAGAGCCCAACCCCACTTGACAAAAAGGGGAGATGATGGCTGGAGTCAAGAGATCTAGAGGGTTGAAGAGCCCAACCCCACTTGACAAAAATGGGAAGCTGGATGTATTTAAAGTAAAAGGCCACCCCCCACCCCCAGTATGTACAGCCTTCTCTTACCTGGCACTTGCCAGATGCCTTGCACTATGGCACGCACTGTGAGATGATTAGACAAATTACAATAAAATAGTGGATCTTAATACAATAGGTTCAGTGGGTTGTAACTCTAAAATAAATTCAGCCTTGATTTCTTCCTTACAGCAGTACAGATGAGTCTGTACAACTGATAACCCTTTGATCCTTATCAAAGAACAGAAATTGTGACTAGGGCAGATACGGGACCCAGAGAGGCAGCAGCCAAGTAAAGAAAGTAGAATAGAGGTGCTGAATCTTTCAAGATGTCCTGCATTAAAGGCCTTCAAAGTTCCCTTGAAATTCTGGTATGAGCTCAGTGAGTCTTCCATGATAATGCTGGCTGGGGATGATGATGGCTGGAGTCAAGAGATCTAGAGGGCGCCACGTTGGAGAAAGTTGCATTTAAGCTCTCAGTCACATCCCCCCCCCCAAAAAACAAGAAGATAAATCTGATTTAAATATGAAATATACATTGTAGGGAAGGCAGAAGGTGAGCCCTGTTCATCTTTTTGATGGACCCTTCACAGCATGCTTTGCAGCACTTTTGCCTAGAGGGTATTTCATGAGTTTTCTTCGCTTCCTTATTTATTTCTTGTGACCCCAGCCAACAAGATTCCTGGGTCTCTGAGCCCTTCTCTGGGCAGCTGAGTTGCTGCATTCAGTCCTTTCCATTTTCATCACCGTTGAACATTGGCTTACCTTGCATGGATAGCTCAGGTGATGCAGAAGGCCTGTAGACTGGTTTCCAAACCTGACTGCAGCTGTTCACAATAAACACAACGGAACAGCAGATCTCCTTTGAAAACAGAAAGCTAAACTAGAACGCGCAGGCCTTGGGTCTTCCCTTTGTGCGTCCATATTTCCAGATCATCTCCTAATTCCATTTGCAGTGTAGCAGACCTTTCTCCCATGGCGGAATCCCGTAGCGCTGCTGTATCACATATTTATGAATTGTGAACCCACACAGACCAGTCCCATGAGTCTTTGCAAACCAATTGCCTCAGTCTTTTCATCTGATTTTGCTCTGGTCCCCATTAAGGCAGCTAAGACATGTTTATGCTAGCCCTGTTAGTTCTCGATATCCATAACTGTGTCAGCTATGAATCGTAGAATTTCCAGCGGAATACAGCGCCTCCTTCCTGTCCTGCAAGTTCAGTTGCATTTGCTACAGAACCTAGAAGTCATTCAACTCAGGGGTCTTCTGCATGTTCAAAGCCCCCCCCAAGTGCTCCCCTCCCCCACCGGGTGGCAAATCCTGGCAGATCCCATTCTGTCTTCAGGAAATCAGGCCGACAGCCTGTTTCTAAGCACTCTTGAGCTGTACAGCGCGGCCAGGAATTTTGCTTCTTGCGTCCCTTGGTGTAATGGGATTCAGCTCTTGCCTATCCATGCCAGGAGGAGCAAAGAGGGATCACAGGCTCCCAGAAGAAGAGAAGGGAAGTGACTGAAGGCGTGCCAGCTTGAGTCCATAAATAGGTTCTTTCATGAGGCTCTGTCACAGATGGTGTCAGCTGGCTGCCTTGACAGGCTTTGCAGAAGAGGTCTGTGATTGAATGGGGCACAGAGGTCTCAATGCAAACCCACAGAGGGTTCGGCTCACAGTTAAAGTAGAGCTGTGGAATGAACAGAACTGGTCAAGTCAACCTTTGTGTAAGGCCACGTCATTCAAAGGATCTGCTTTGGTTCGGGCTTGCAGGGGAGAAGCTAAAGTTGGGCTCCTGCTGTAACATAGCTGAGAAATACAGGTGGTATAGTTGGAAGGGAGGTGATGCCAGTGTGCTCTTGGGACCTTCACTTTATAGGCAGCACTACCTGTGAAAGGCAGGCTTAAACCAGTTGCCTTGTGTCGGCCTTCTGCCTTAAAAAACTGCTGGCAACAAACTGTTGCTGTTATGAGATAGGACTAAGTAAGGGTTCACAGAGAAGCTCCAGTTTAAAAGATTTCAAAGATTAAGGTTGGAAAACAACCTCTGCAACATACTTAGAAAGATGCTGCAGTGGTATGTGTGCAGTGAATAAGAGACTTGTGAAGGATGGCTTCTATCCTCCGGTGGCCACTCTGTGTTGTCCAGTATTGTCTATTCCAACTGGCTGTACCTCTCCCAAGTCTCGGGGGGGGGGACCTGCAATGTGGTCTACGATTGTAAGGCACACACTTGATTCCTGAAGGTGGGGCCCTTCCCACAAGGCGGGTCTGGGTCAGATCGGTTCAGACCACGCCCTAGGTTGGCGTGAATGAGCTCACTCCAGTCTGCAAACCACGATCACCTGGAGAACGCGGGGTGGGGAGCCAGAGACTGAAAGGGCTGGTTACTCCAGGACTGTCAGCAAGTATTTGGGTCCGAGTCTTTGATAACAAGTCCTGGGTCCAAGTCCAGGTTATTGGGGGGAGGGGGGAGGACGACAACAATTGAGTCCAAGTCCAGTCCCCAGTGCGACTGAAGTCTGACTTGACAGTGAATCCCGCAGCTCAAGCCCCCGTCCTGGGACTCTTCTAGCCCTGTCTAGCATCCTCCTCCCCCTCTTCCCACTGCTCTGCTCTGGAAGAGTTAAAGAGCAAAGGATGCTGAAAGCCCCATGCCTGAAAAGCGGGAGGAGGGGGGGGGGGGGGGGGGGGGGG